AGGAACCTTGTCTTCAAGCAACTTAAAATCCAGGTGTGTTCATTGATCTAACGCCCAGAACAGCTGGGAGACTCTAAACTGTGCTTTGGACTCTGATGTACCATAATAATGTTATCTCTTCTACTGGTGATGGGCTTTGATAATTAGACAATTGTTCAAGTAAGCTGAACTTTCGATGAAAATGTGATTTCATTTATTTCTCAATTCAGAAAGTATTTTTTTTTTGTTTTCTGATTAATGACAGCAAGAGAGGCAAATTAGAAGGTGTGGGAACGCAGCTGGAGCAAAGAAGACTGGTTGGAGGTGGTGGCTTTGATGCAACACTGAGTGCTTCTGTTGGCCAAGAAAGGAGTCAGAGGTGACTCCCAGTCCTTGGTGGTGGCTTGGCGGATCATGTAGCTATGCAAAAAGATAGAGAACCACTGCTGATAATTTTTCCTCTGCAAACTGGTTATGCCAAAGGTCCAGATTCTGAAGACCTTGACTTCCACCTCTAAATGTTTAGAGGAAAAGTGAATTTCATATCTACATCAAGTCATTTCTATGCTAAAAAATTCTGGCACTTCATTTTAATTTGGTATGTATATTATTTTTTATGAAATGCTTGATTTGTATTTGATTGGAAGAATTCATAGATTAAGTTAAATTTTCTTATCCTGATGGTCTTTCCATTATTGATATTATAGTTTGTAATGTTATACATGTATAGTATTAATAGTTAAACTTTTCCTTAGCCCACATTTCTTTTCTCCTTACTTTTTGGCTATTAAATGTTATGTTAGCATTTTGGGATACTCCACATTTTATTATGGGATATATTTGACAAAGTTTCAAGACATTGAATTGTAACAGTCTTCCAACATTATTTTTTACCTCGTACTTTCTTTTTTTTTTTAACTAGGCAAAGAACTTTATTAACCTTTGTTTCAAACTTTATTCCCAAGCTTCTGTACCTTAATTAGCTGCAAAGAATGATTTGTGTATAAACAAAAACTGAAAAGAGCTGCAATGTCCTAGGGGCTTGGGCTTAAAAATATTAGAGGTTGTGATTTTATCAGATCCATGAACAAAATTTTAAAAAGCAGTCATAAAATAGCAGCTCCCAGTAACTTCTTCAAGTTTTATCTTCTTCAGAAGTTGACTCAATTCAGTTTGCTTCATTCTGGGAAGCCTCGTCAAAATTCTCCACAGGATCTGGAACTCACCATCATCATCTTCTCTGCTAACAAGTGGTGCTTTTCCAACCCCAGATGGTTTGGGCAGAGCTTCGGCCAATCTCCTTAAACTAGTCAGACTTCCTGCACCGAGCTGGTTTAAGATGCTGGATAGCCTTCCTGTCAGCTGTTTGGTCTCAGCGTGGCCTGTGATGGTGATAGCGTTTGCTGCCAGAGACGTTTGAACTTCACGGTTGTTAAAGTGGATCACTGTTTCTTGGTTTGTGAACATATTCACCTCTTCAGTACCAGTGATATTGTTTACCCCTAACTTCTTTAAGGAGAACTGAAGTTTTTCATCATCTGCTGTAGCTGTTCTGTAAACCACCTTCTTTCTGCGAGCGTTTCCTTTCCCACAAATGCGCACTTGGCCTGCAGTTTGGCGAGTTTCTTCTGGTTCATGATAGGTTCTTTCATCTTGTTGGAGAGGAAACGGGGTCATGCAGGGGACTAGGGTTGGCACTCTGGGATCTTGGGCAGACCAGCTGAGAATCTACCTGGCACCCTCTATCAAGGAGACTTTGAAATTCGGAGACTAAAATCATACCTTTCCTTGTGGAAAATAAATCCCCATGAGGTGATTTTAAAAAAAATTTAAAACTAGATTGTCTTCTTTTTACAATAAACAACTTCTTATTATATTGCAAAATATAACAAAAGTATTTTGAAAAGAAATGGCAATGGGTAGTTTTTTTAAACTGTTAGTTACTAGAGGCAAAAATGTTTTATTTTTACTAAAATGCAAAGAATGTAGGCTTCAAGATTAAGTGGAATATCTGAATGCAGCATATGTGTTTTCTAAATAAATAATAATTATAACTGTCATTCTTGATGTTTTTAAGTTCTCATATAGAGTGTCTAAAACAGGAACTTCAGTTAGTGATGAACATAATTTAAATGTATGGAGTGGATTGATTTATAGTAACATTGTGTGAACAATAGTCATAGTAACATTAGGAGATCAATTTGGGACATATAAGGGAGATAATATGTTTATATATTAAAAATAATGTCATGAAAAATTGTTCTTGTTTTTTCTTTTTAGTTATTTTTAGGATAGTTCATATGTTCATTTGAATTTTCACTTAATGTATTACTTTTGTTAAAAATAAAAATTATTTATATATTTATTTATACACACTTATAACATATCAATTATAATTTACATTGATTATAATTTATTTAGAATTTATAATAATTTATATTAAATTATGTTATAGGAAAAATATCACACAAAATAAGATAAGCAAAAGAACACAAAAGACATAGAATCTCACCCACTCAGACATAACCACTGTTAATATCCTGAAATAGTTTCTTCTTGAAAAATTCTGTAAAGCAAATGAAAGTACTTTTAAATACGCAAAAAAACTTACAAAAAATTCTTGATACACTAAAACTACCAATAAAGAAAAAAGTAGTATCCGAGGTTATTTATTTGAGACTAAGGCAACCTTTCTTATCAAAATGTTTGGTGTCATTTTGGTTATATCTTCACTAATGGAGAAGAGTGGAGGGAGAATTGAGGCGGTTTTCTAAAATACTTTAATTATCCTGTTGTTTTAGAAATAAGCAGCTTTTGGTCTCAGTTTCCCAAAAAGTTATCTCTGTTTAGAAGTTTAGGAATTTTTGTAAACAAATTTATCAAGAAAGTTTGCCTCAAAAGAATTTTTGTATTTTTTTTCTCTTTAAGCTTGGATAAATAATTTCATTTTCTCTGAACTGTTTCTTTGAACTGTTTTAATGAACAAAAAATATAAAAAACGCAATTTATTTTGATATATTTAAAATGCAGAAAAACTTCAGATAGTAAATACAGAATCAGAGGGAACTGTCCATGGAAAGGGAGTATTGGTAAAACAAAGTTAAAATTTTTTAAAGATTTAGATGTGAATAATGAAATAGATATTTTAAAGAATTAAGCTCTATTAAAATATTGAGGGCAAGTATGCAGTTGTTATATTCTTCTACCTCCTAAGGTCATTGAGTTTTGATTAATTTAAAAGTTTCAAAATTCACAAGCTAATATTTACTGAATTCCTTTCCTATCTCTCAGGCCTTGTCCTTGATGTAGTCACTTACATGCTCTGTATAATTTCAAAACAACCCTGAGGATTTGATGATTCATTTGTAGACTCCTAACCTGAAGGATTATTGTGGAACATAGAGTATCCTGGATTTCTGTGGGCTTACTTGGCCTTGGCCAGTGCTGTGGGTGTTAGAGAATATGCATATCAAAGATAATGATGGTGCAATTAGGAAAAAACAAAGCAACTGTCAGTCTCCGGAGAAAAGCATAGGAGCGAGTATGGAGGAGGTAGTCTTGATGCGTGGTCCTGAGGTGGCATGTGCAATCTGTACTTGCTGGACTGACCCCACAGATGTGCATGTTCAGCTGCCCTGCCCACGGAGAGTTATGAAGTAGCTACATGAGTGCATAAGGCAGGTATTGGGCAAGACAAACTTGTCAAGGATTACGCACATTGTGGCCAAAGGGCACCTGTGCTCTGGTGTGTCCTGAGAGTCTTGGGGAGAAAAAGGGGAGGGAACATGCACTTGAGGGTGGGGGGCTGCAAAATCTTCCTTCCTGCTTGACTGCAGGGTTTTGTCTTTTCTAAGTCAGGCTAAGGTCCATTTGCCAAAACTGGGCTCTTCAGAGGTAAGTGTGCATTATTAGCCCCATTTTACAGATGAAGAAATTGAGCCCAGTGAGATTCAATTGAAGTGTGTGTGTTTGTGTGCCTATACAAGTAATATACAGAGTGTGCCCCAAAAATGTATACACATTTTAAGACAGGAAAAGACTTAAAATTGTAATGCTCACTATATACTGATAACAAAAGATGAATACAAGTCACGTTTGACTTCTGCAATTACAAGAGGTGCTCAAAGTGGTTACCAACAGTATCCAGACACTTCTGATTATGGCAAACTACTGCTTGAGCAACGTTGACTGAAGTGTCCACTTGTATACATTTTTTTGGCACCCCTGGTATGTATTAGGTAAGATATATTAACTATTGATAGACATTTCTTACAAATAACTGCCCTACGTTATAAATAGTGGTGTTTACTAAATAATTACCTAGAACTTACCTCTTTCCAAAACAGGATTTGTAATTTTTGTAAATTATGACGGCCTAAATATACCTCTTTATTATTTTGTTTTACTCAAAACAACTTTTTCTTGTTGATCCAGAACACTTGGACGTTTTTGAGCCTATATTTAGCCGGTCAGAAGAGCTACTGTTTAGTGGCAAACTTTATGCTCTGGGCCACTTGAAATTCTGAGCTAGCACCACAAATTCAAATCCTACTTCCGCACCCTGACAGCAGAGGGGCTCCGAGTGTAGACGGAGTGCTGGTGCATTCTCCGGGGTGTTTTTCAGAACCTCGGAGGACGCTGCTCGGAGAACGTGCCTCTTGCACACGTGCCCCCTATCCACTGTGGAAAGCACCTGCAGCCCCAGGGAAGAGTGCGGCGGGACAGGCCTTTGGCCAAGTCAGATGTGGCCGGAAAAATCAATAATTGCGCTGTCATCTCCTTTCTGATGATGAAACCATACGCTCCATTTGGGAATTTAAGGCAGAATGTAAACTCATAATCTGAAAGGACTTCTGGTGACGTGGCGAGCCCAGGTACCGACCGCTGTGGAAACGGACTCAGGCCGGTCCCCACTTGCGGGCTCTTGTTACTCGCTTTGGACAGCCAGGCGCCGTCCGCTGTTTCCCGGGTGAGGGTGCTCTTGTAGGATCCCCGCAGTCCGCCTCGGCGGTTCTCGCCTCCCAGCCCTTTCGGGGACCCGGTTTCCAGCCCCCCAAAGTCGGCCCCGCCGCCGGCCTCGGGGCCCCGCCCACTCTGGCAGGGGGTCGAAACCGCACCGAGCGCAAGCGGGAGCCGGAGCGGGGTCCGCCGCGGCCCCTTTAAGGAGCCGCGCTGCGGTAACCCGAGCCCGCAGTCCGGGCGGGCTTGGCGGCAGCTGGACCTCTGGGACGGCTACCGGGCTCCGCCGAGCATCTCGCGGGCGGGCTCTGGCCGGCGCCAGCCCTCGGGCCAGGCCGGAGGACCAGGCGCCTGGAGCCCGGCCGCGCGCAGCCGCCGCGCGCACGCTAGTCGCCCCGGGACGCGGCACAGGTGACGCCGTTTGCAAGGCTCGGGGAGGAGGGCGGGTACGCTTGGCCCCGCGGGTCCCCGCCCCGGCCTAGTGCGGCCAGGGCTCTGGAGGCCGGGGGCGTCCCAAGCGCGAGGGGCTGCGGCGGCTCCAGCAGGTGCGTGCGGCGGCGCAGCATCCTTCGGCCCGCGGGCTGCTCAGGTGGGGTTCTGGCCCGCGGCCCCCGCCCGCCCGAACGCCTCCGCGAGTCCCACTCGCGGTTCCCGGGTTGCCTGGGGTGGCTGCCGGGTCTCAGCTCAAACCGGCGGGTGCTTTGGGCACCAGGGAAAGCCTTCTTAGTAGAGGCCGATCCACAGTCAGGTGCATCAAGTGGGTAAGTGCCCCCCTCCACCTCCCCCTACCAAATGAAACAGGAAGCTTTTATTCACCTTGGCAGTGCTCAAGCGGGTCTCATTTTTAGCCACCAAGTACTGAAGAGTGTAGTTTAAAGGGACTGGGCTCAGAGTCAGAGGCCGACACATTGGGTTTCTGTTTCCAGCTCTACCGTTGTCACCCCGGGCAAGTTGATTAAACTAAGCGCCTTGGTTTACCTGACCATGAAATGGGATCCGTAATGCTAGCCTTTTCATACAGCCCCAAGACGGTAGGTCTGCCCCTGAAAACACTTGGAGTTGTGTAAGTTCATGAAAGAGTCACTGTTGATGGCCAGTGTTTGCTTAGTTGTACACATCTGAGTGTTAATGTGGTGCACACTTGTATGTGAAATTAAAACTTGCTCTTCAAGAGTGATCTTTAACAGTGGTTAAATGAATCCGATACCAGCTGGGGACAAGATGGAAAAGTTTGTGTGGATGTTAGGAGTTGATGTGTGAAGTAGGAGAAAAGCTGTCATTTTAGTAAAATCTTTACTCAGTCATAAATGGAGTTGAGGAAAGTGGCTGTTGGAGTGTGTGTGTTTCAAGAGATACTGCTGTGTGAGCACATGCTATAGATCAGGATGCAGGGTCCTCTTTGTGTGGTCAGTTAAAGCAATAGTGGTGGAGAATCCCAATTCTCTTTTAACTGCTATATGTCAAGTAGAGAATTTCCCCCCCTTGTTTGTCTCTTGTTAAATTCTATGGGTGAAACTAAATGAGAAAAGTGTATCCTTGCCCACACTAGGAGATTGGGAACAATGGCAGGAGGAACCACAGATTTTAGTGTATTTGCCACCTCCTTCCTGTGCCATCACATGATCCAGCGGATACTCTATTTTGAGGGTGCTTCTTTTTTCCTACCCCTGCAACTCCTTTGGCCACATTACTTCCCCCCAGAGTTCAAGTGGTTGTGATCTTGCATGAGTTTTATCTGTCTAGAGCTGGATGTCTCACACCGGCTGCTTAGCCAGTTATAATTATTTACACTGTGAGCTATTCCTATTCCTTTCACTCTAAGCCTTCTTTACAATGATGGAAAGAATAGTGACTCTGCAGTTAAAGGCATGTACCTGGAGGTGCCTAGGAATGGCAGTGGTCAAGGGGCTGAAGTTTTATAGCAAACTTCAAAGAAGTGGGGTCTTCTGAATGGACCCTAGAGTATGGATGCAAGAGTTGGCCTACATTTTCCTTCATTTTCTAGACTCTCCATTGGAGAGGGATTCATCAAGAGCGATTATCAAGGTAAACGGAGGACTTGGGAGCAAGGAGCTATCAGAAATCGAACTCAGTGCTAGATTGATTAAAAGCGTTCGCAGCATAAGAGTGGGGAGGAGGAAGTGGCGACTAGGGAGGGAACGGAGGGCCCTCCCAATAACCAGAGAGGTAGGAAAGGAGTCCTGGGGAATGACGGAGTTGGTGTCCTAGGTGTGACTTGCTCTTCTGTCCTGTTCCCTTTGAGGGTGTGTCTTGCCCTTCAGAGCCTAGCACAGCTGCCCTATATATAGCGCTAGACCTGTTCACTCCCCTCCCTCGGTGCTAGAAAGGAGGTCCAGCGTTTATGTCCCTCCCTCAAAGCCCGCATTCCACATAGGGGAGGAGGAACTGAAGGTTCCTCTAAGAAGCCTTCAGACATCCATACGCCCCCACACCCTTCTTCTCAAATTACTGTCCCATATTTACAGATGAAGATGGCTGAGAAAAGTCCATAAGAGGATACAGAAAACTTTTTTTTTCCCCCTGTAGAGGAAGGTAATGAATTAACTGAGTGAGAATTGTGGGCGACTGAACAAGAGTGGGCAGGACTGGGGGCGGACTTGTGCTGGACAGCTTGTGTCCTTGTCCTTTGGGGAGCAAAGGGTGCCTCTGCACTTGTACCCTCACCATGTTGTGCTTTCCCTCTTTCCATTTGCCTTGTGAGAGGAGGAGTGTACCAGGATGGGGGTGGAGTGACCATCTGCTCTCAAGGATGGGAAACAGACTTTAGGTCAGCATTAGGGATGAGCTATGTTCACCTGGTATGGGTACCAGACACTGGGCGTGCTATCCCTGAGGATGCGTTACATCAGGAAAGTAAGGTGAACTGTGTAAGAAAACCTGAGGCGTTTCAAGAGCGACTTGGGTGGTGTTTTTTTCTTGTTGGAGATGAAAGGGAGCTCACAAAGAAATGGAGTCCTACTGCTCTGAGGTTTGTTATGCATAGTGAGACAGTTGGATGTGCTACAAGCAATTCCCAGGCCTGAAAAGAAGGCAGGAATAGCAAAGGAATTTTTTTTTTTTTTTGCTTGGAACATTGGTCTGTTCAAGGAGAAGGCAGCCCTGTAGATACATGAGAAGAAGCTTGTGAATCACTGTACAAGGCTCAGGTTTGTGAAAGCAGCTGATGAAGAAGAAGTCTGGAAGTCTGTTCAGAGCTTGAGCCGCATGAGGAAAGGAGCAGCTGAGCAGTGGGACCAACAGCAATTGCGGCGGTCTGAATAGATGGTAGACAAAGGCTTGTCTAAAGCAGTGTTTCGGACATTTTTGGATTACATCACAGGGCAAAATGCATTTCTACCTTGAGACCCAGGACAAGTTGGCTGATGCATGTAGGCCATGTCTACTTTCATCCGCTGGATAGGGAGCAAAGAAGTTCTTGGTGCGGAGCGGGTGGATGGGTGGGTGGCTCACAGCGCCCCGTCCAGCTTTGAGAAGTTTGTGCATAAGAAAAGGATGGAATGTATTGTTTCCAAAGCCCATTTGCTGATCTAACTTGTTAGGCAGTTGCCTGCTTGCCTCCCAAGGAACTGGAAAAGTATAATATTCTCATTAAAAGGGTTGGATTGTCAAGACTTCCTTGGACATCTATTTCAAGATCTACAATCAAACTGGAATCATCATTCATAGACTTGGGATTGCCAAAAAAGCTTCTTGGAGAAATAGGGAGGCAGCACTCAGCATCCTTGAGCGGATTCCAGTATTTCTGCACTGGAGGTAGTTGAGGGCAGAGTCTATCTGCAGGCCTTTGGTTTTCTTTTTATAACAATGAATATGGGTTTTCTTTTTATAACAATTAATATCTGACTCCCACACCTAGCACGCTCACCAGTGGGCAAGAACAACAAAGTCTGGAGGAAATGTACACAGGTATCAGAGTTCACCCGGTTGCTTGGTTACTACTTGCTGTTATCATCCACATACTGACCTAGTTGGATCCTCCCAGTGACCCATCCCTTCCTTGTCTGATTTTCTTACCTTAGCTGATGTTTTCAGAGTTTAACTTGACCTCTCCTCAGCTGTCTGGTGTCTGTCTAATGCTTCCATGCCTGTTTTCTCTGGGGGTGTCTTGAGCCCCGGAATTACGGTGCATGCCTGCCTGCCTATTCCAATAGAGCCCATGTTTGGATCCTGGCCTGTGCTGTATTACCGTCCACTGTATCTTGCTTCCATGGCCACCCTAGAAATAACTGTACATTGATGGGTTTGTACGTTGGTTTTGATTTAGCTTTTAAATTTGGGGGACATGGAGAAACAATCTTGTTAATTTAATTAGCTTTCTCCAAATAGGCCTTAAAAACTTTTAAACAGTACACTTTGAGGCATAGAAAACTTCTCTCTACATGATATGTATTTATTTGTGGAATAGGAGGAAGAAGGAATTTTCATTTGATGAAAAATTTAGAACAGATTTTTAAAAACCATTTACAAACTGTTACATTTTAGGGACATAATTCCCTAAACTAGTCTTGCCCAGTTAACATATTTTGCTCTAAAACATGTAAAAATAGTGAGACAGTTATGAATTGAAATGCTTTATCATTTGTTACATGCTATTTTAAGGACTTATAAAGATGACATCTGTGCACCAATTGAGAAAGATTCTGGGCCTTTTCATATTTTAAAACCCTGCAGGAGTGTCACTTAGTAGATCAGTTTCTTACATGCTTTGTGGAAGAATCAGGGCAAGATAAAGGCTGTAGGATGGGAGGCCGAGTTGTCTGAAGGGAAGGCCTAACTGCTCGGAGTGTATCCTAGCTAAGTTTCTCCGAACCACACTCGTAAGGCGCTGAGCATTTTTTGAGGACCTGAGAATGCTTTATAGCCTCAAGTCTCTCAATGTTTTCTGCAGTGTTTTTTTTTAATTTTTAAATTAGAAAAGTGAAACTTGCTGACTATAAAAAACATTATAAACAACCAATACTCAGAGAAGGAAAGTTCACTGCTCCCCGTTCCCTCAACTCCCACCTTCTTTGATTTCACTCCCAAACACAACCAGCTATCAGTTTTGGGGGTATAGCCCTTCCACTCTTTTTCTCTACAAATGCCAAAATGTGCCCAGTTATGTATTTATGAAAAATTTACGATTTCACAGCCTGTGTTTTTTCACTCCACGGTATGTGATAGGCATTCTTCTGTATCATCTTGTTCATTTAAATGTCTGTGTAACCTGTGATAGCGTAGCTGTATGAATATATTTAACTTTTTGTTTATCATTGGACCTTAAGGTTTTTTCTAATAAAGCTGCAGTAAACACCCATGTACATGCATCCTTTCACACCTATGTGAATTTGTTTTGAAGATAAAAGATAACATAGTATACTGCTTATTGCATAATTCAGGTAACATAGCAC